AAATCCAGTCTCTTAGGGGATAAGCTAAGTAAATCCTTTTTCTTTGTTCTCTCTAGTCGTCACAGGAAATAGTCTTTCCAGAATATACTGTTATTTGCCAGCTCCTCACTGACTCTTTATAAAATTCCCTTAGACCAAAAATAAAACCTCCACACTCCCCCTCACTCCATAGGAAGAAGTACCTCACATCAAGACATTTTTCAGCTGTCATGCAAAGTATTGTTCCCATAACATTTCATTTGATTCTTAATGATATAGTAACAATATCTATAGTTTCTGTAGGAAAGCCAAATGAAACAAATATTAGTTTCATATCCTCTACCTTTCCCAATGTATCTGTCCCCATCCCCTATCCTAGAAATCCATCATTCATGAAAATTAATAAAAAAAAATAGGGGGAAAAATCTGGTTTAGCAAAACTAACCAATATCTTGAAAAATTCTGACATAATATATGTTTCATATCCATAGGCCCCTACCTCTGTAAAGAATTGATAGTAAGGTAGAAGGGAGGACGTACCTTCTTATTTCCCTTATTGGAGGTCAAGCTAAGAAATTCTAATTTCTCAACATTCCATTCTGATTGTTTTATTGTTATATTTTCTATTTACATTATTATAGTCATTATTGTATGTTGTTTTCCTGATTTTGCTTATTTCACTTTGAATTAGTTCACAAAAGTCTTCCAATGCTGCCCTATATTCATCATGTTTATTTTTCCTCATAGAAAGGTAATATTCCATTGTGTTCATGTGACACAAGTTGTTTAGCCATTCACCAATCAATGGTCATATAATTTGTTTCCAGTTCTTTCTATTAGAAAAAGGTTCAGGTAATGTTTTACTGTTTGATTGCCTTCCTTGTTATTTATGGTTTTAATATCATCTGATTTCCTAATGCCTGGCAGATGCCTTTCTGAGCTAGGATTGCCTTCTGCCTTGATGAATGTCCAGGTAGAAAAGGGAAGCCTCAACCTTCACCAATTATAGAGAAAAGCAGCATGGTTGGGAAAGATCATGATGCCCTCCCTAAGTATTCACCAAAATTTTGCTCAATCCCTTCATCCAGATCATATGCTAGCCCTGTCGTCGATATATTTAACCACTAAGCAACCATCACAAACACTTCAAAAAGGTTTCAGAGGATCTCAGCTTACAGTTATCTATTTCTGTGGCAATGGGATCAAACATGATTAAAAGGCAGAAAGTAGAAACAATCTTTCTACATACTGCTGAAAGTCACCAAACATTACTTAACATTGCACAGGGAGATATCATCATTTTGCTCATCTCTGAGGAAAATGATGACTGGTTTTATAGAGAACATGACCAAACTAAAGTGAAGACTTGGTCTCCATCATTGTATATGAAGTTATTAGAAGAGAATGAAGAAGAAACATTAAATATGCCAGTTCTAAACCCTGTACCCATTAAAAGCATCAGTAGAGCGCATTTATCAGTTTAAAAAAAGTAGGATTGTCATCCTGCCCCCAGATTATCTGGCATATTTGTCTAGAGGATTTCCTACAGACAAAAGAGTAGATGTTGTTTTGAAAAGTTTGACATTAAACCATCAGGGCCCAAATCTTCTAAGTTAGATACAAATGGAACACAAAGTCTTCTTTTCAAAAGGGAGAAAATACTTTTTGTACTGTGAAACTGACCAATACTGACAAATGATAGATCAGTACCAAAAACTGATTGAATAAACGTCAAAAAAGTAATGTCCAGTATTCTTCCCCTGTGTAAACCATAGGTTCACTATTATGATTATCTTGCTTAACATCTGCTGTCATTGTACAGGAGTGAAACATTGCAAAAATTTTCCAATTTTCAATGGATCTGTCTCCGTAAAATTGAGGGGATTAAAACTGCCAATTTATAAGATTTGAGAGTGAGCTTAAAGAAGCTGACATAATATATTTTAATATCCACCATAATTAACAATAAACACTTTCTTCCTCTTCTGTTTAGCAAACCAATAGACTATTCCATTGTTTCTCTTTGGGGGATGTCAGTGTTCCATATTTTTAAAAATATGACATTTTATAGAAATGACATACTGAATAAAGAATTGATTTTGCTTTTATGTTCTAACTCACTGTATCCAAATGCAAAATGATTGTTTTGTTTTAAGGCTAAGTATGTATTGTTCCAAATAAGCAATAGAACTGTAATATTCAATGGATTTGCATCATACGTAAATCATAAATCACTTAGATTGTTTTAGATTATCAAGGTACCACTTCTAATTGTAAAGTCAAAGTTTTGGTTTTTTAAATCAAGGCATATAAACTCCAAATGTGGAACTGTGACAGGGAATGCACTTCCCATCCCAATCCAGTTATTTCAAAGTTAGGAGAAGTCATCCACATCACATGTAATTTTTAGAACTTTGCTTCCTAAAAATGACACATAAACTGTTAAATTCTGGTTTGTACTCCAAATTAACAAATAAAACTTCAAGATTAAAAAAAAAACTTTGGAAAACTGATACTTTTAATGACCCTAATCGGCTCCCTGAAACAAAGGGTCATTAACTTTGCCCCCCCAACACACACACACACACACACACACACACACACACACCCCCAATAGTCTTCCAGTGATGTAATATGGCTGTGTCATGGAATGCCACAATCTTTGAATGTTTAAAGTTGAGGGTCATTCATAGAAGAACATGGAGAGGAACATGATGACGTTGAACAGGTTGCAACCCATTACTAAGCAAGAACTGCACCAGAGAAGTAGCATAAAAGATATCATTAGGGAGATGTGTGACCAGAAGCAAAAGTGGTCCAATAATGTGTTGAGAGCAAGGGATAACTGATGGAAGAAGTGGCATGCCCCATTGGTATTTACACTATGTCAAGAGATCTAAGTCACTCAGCACTTCAGGTGGACTGTTATGGAAGACTTAGGGGGAAACATGAACAAGAATCATCTCAGATGAGGGGGATGGATGAGTTGTTATCTTATCACTGAAGGACCCACGTTAGTGATCATCCAGGAGAATGTAAGCTCCTTGAAGACAAGGGCAATTTTTTGGGTTTTGTCTTTGTAGCTCTAGTGCCTAGCACAGTGCTTTGCCCATAACAGTCACTTAATAGGTGTTTGTTGTATTGAATTGAATCAAATTAACCACCTTCTCCAACTTTTCCAGGTTTTTATCCAGTGTAAAATCTTGACCCTAGGTGCCAGGACAAAGATCATCCCTCTCTGTTGAAGAATCTTTTCCAATAAGTACTTAATGATTCTCCATCTTTGCACGTGCAATTCCTCTCCCACCTTTCAAAATGATGCACCTGCAGATATACACAATGCCAACAGATATCCTTTCTTTCCCTAATGCCTCACCTCAATGGTCATCTCCAGAAAGCTTTTTCTGATTAACATTATCTTCCCTAAGTTTATGTACTACATTCCATTTGCACTTTAAAAAATTTGCTCTGGCTTCTTATGGCTCCACCCTAGAGTTTCAGAAAAAATCTCTACAACAAGGCTTGGGTATGGTTCATGTCCCTTTTAGAAAAGATACTCAGTATTTAAAATATTGACCACATATAATAGACTATTTACTTTATCTGTCACAAAAGGAATACCTAAAACATAAAAGACTCAGAACCAGTTCTCCATAATATTTAACACATAAAACAATACACACAATACCAATTATACTCTTAAGAGAAGTAAAGACAATTTTGTGGTGATATGGAACAATATATAATATTCACCTCAAATCTGATCTTAGACCTTTCAGTTACAAAATTCTCATAGTAGTGTTGTTTCTTCTCCTCTGAGAAGCATTATAGTTGTAGGAATTGCCTCCTGCTAGGTAGTCAGGTAATTTCTCTCTCTTGGTGGAAGTTCATGGGATAGGTTCTCTGAGTCTCAAGCAATATACTAAAAAGAGGGAAAGGGGCAGCTAGGTGGTGCAGTGGATAGAGTACTGGCCCAGAAGTCAGGAGGACCTGAGTTCAAATGTGGCCCCAGACTAAACACTTGACACTTACTAGCTCTGTGACCCTGGGCAAGTCACTTAACCCCAACTGCGTAAAGAAAAATTTTAAAAATTAAAAAGAGGGAAAGGTGTATAGCCCTTATGGGGATCAAGGGGCCACCCAGGATTGCATGTCCTTTATTAAAGGGCCAGAACATGTCTCACTGGAAGGGGGTAGAAGCAATGCCTAGATCCATGGGAAATGCCCCAGTATAATCCTTGTTAGATACTTATTTATATATTACTCTGTAATTTCCTTAAATCATTTAGGATAGATGTTCATGAACCCTAACTAACCTGTAGCTAGGGCAGAGATTTGGACTTCTATTTCTTAGTACAGTATATTTAGTTTATATTTTCCCATGTCTATTGTAGTACTTGGTACACATTTGAAGTTCTCTCTTTAACCTTCATTTTTCTCCTCTGGAGAAGTGTATGCTATGGAAAGGGGGGGAGCTGAGTTGAAGAGGATCATGTAATGTGAACATGTGATACAGTTATGACCCATGAGTTCATTCAACCTCTGATATTTAACATCCCAGAGGACTCTGATCTCTGATCTCTGATTTCCAAGAGAATCCTGGTTTCGGATGTCTCTCAGTCCAGGACTGACTTCTCCCAGGGTGTCTCCCTCCCTTTGAATCTATAGCCCTGTCCTCACTTCCAGGAAAGGATATGGTGACCACTGAGCCACTACAGTTAGACATTGACCCTAGAATGGCAAGTGGCAAATTCACAGATTAAGGTATAGGGAGAAGGGAAGAGGAGGAAGGGGAAATATTAGGAGAAACTCCAGGGGGTCTTTCTTTCATGGTGTTTCTCAGGTTTAGAAGAATGCTGGGGTTTGAATAAGGGAAAAGTTAACCCAGACGGAGGTACACAAGGCTAGGGGAAGCTGGTTAATCATCATTGGAGCTCTGATAAGCCTCTGCCAGCTGTACATAAGATCAACATAGGCAGAGATGAAAGGTTTTGTGAAACCAGAGGATCTGTCAAGACAGTGTGGCTGGAGCTTGAGTCCATGCCTGGGACAAAACGATTTCAACATGTGATTGAGACCCCTGAGCCAGGCAAATGGGAGGTGAAAGCCCTTCTCTGTATTTACACCCTTCCCCAAAACCCCTCCCCTGGGTTGGCTTCTGTTGCTCTTCATCCTCTGTCCTATTCCCCCCACTCTATTTTTACTCCCTTATCCATTCTAGTTCTTCTTCACCCCCTTCTTTCGCCAATGAAATAAGGATACCAAAAAGGAATGTAGTGCTTGAGTCTGTGTATGTCCATCCCCTGTATACTCTTGTGCCTGCCAATACTCCTCAGCTAAATGGGCATGACATAGGACCATAGGTATGCTCTCCAATTCCTGAAAGCCCAGCTTGGTGCCACCTGATTCTCTCAGGTATTGGTTGTAACGTATTGCAGCCTTTCCCCCTGGATTCACTTTATTTGAATATGTACTGTGTTTACTTATCATGCACATAGGGTTTCCTACCTAGTAGAAAGTAAGCTCCAGAGGGCAAGGATTGTCTTATTTTTGTATTTCTACCCTAGCTCCTATGCCTGGCACCTGGTGATAAATTCTTATTGTTGATTATGTTTCCCCTTTAGTTGTCTGGGTATGAAGCATCCTTGCCAATCACAGAAAAGTCGCATCCTCTAACCCAGGATTTAGATAAGGCAAATGCTGAACAAATTGTACAGCTCCTGGGGCAGTGTGATGCTGAGATCTTCCAGGAGGAAGGACAAATAGTGCCTGTCTACCAGGTAACTCCTCAACATCCTTACATATGCCAGATCTATATACTCCAAACCTAATCTCTACCTTCACACCTCTTTCCCCCCATTCTTGACAACGGTCTCTGCCCTGGGATCCCAGTCCCCAGTCCTTCAAATCCAGGAGTAACAACATGAGGGAACTTTGGCCTGGGCCCTCTTCTCTGGATCTTACCTTAATTTGGCCTCTCACAGCGGCTCTACAGTGAATCGATCTTAACCACCATGGTCCATGTGGCTGGAAAAGTTCAGGAAGTACTAAAGGTACTAATACTTATCAATCCCTCTGTCTAAATAATCTAATATCTCCAGGTCTCCTAATCTTCTGTTGTCCTGACCCTTTCTCTCTTTTCCTCTCTTATCTTTTCTAGTCCAGCTTAATATTATATTTTTACTTCTCCCCCTCCTTTTCTACCACCTGTCATTATGTTCTCCTGTTTCACTTAGCTCCACCTCATGAAACTCTGGCTCTGCTTTCAGGACTTCCCAACGTCAATCCCTGACCCTCCAGTTTACTCTTTTTTTTTTTTTTTTTGTCTGAGCTTGTGTTGTCATGGGTGTGAGGAAACAATAACCAGAGGAATCTGTGGTCCTCCTCTACTGGGACTGTCTCCTCTTAACGTAACTCAAGTATGCTTAAGGTTTAAACTGTACCCAATTCTACTTAAAACTGGTTTCTGAAATTCCAGTAAACTTACTGATGCTGCAAAGTTATCATCCCACCTTCCTCATCCTGAGTAAGCCCTCCTGGTTGATTTTTAGAACCCCTCTCCTCTTTTACTACTGTTCCATGCTCCCTGACCCTATCACTCCAGCACTGCATGGCATGACAGCTGACAGCAGACTGCTATGCAAACCTGGGCATCCAGCCACTCAATGCCTTTGAATACAATCAGAGAGCATGTCCTACTACTTGTTCTGAGGTGGTAAGGGAGGCCCCAGGTGACTATTCTTGATTGAATTATAATTCCCTCCTCTGCTTGGTGGTATCAAAAAACATGCTAACCCATTCCAGGGCCATTGTTTACTGCTGCCCCAAATTCCACCCTTATGACAGAGAAGCAGGCTGTGTACTGGAAAAATGTATGTTCTGAGGACTTGGCTGGTTCAAATCATGCCTCTGCCAATGATCACCTGTATGACCCCAAATGGGCAGCATCATTAGCCTTTCTGGGCCTCAGTTACCTCATCTGCAAAATGAGGAGTTGGACTAATTGGTCCAAAGAACTAGTGTGGAAATTTTCTCCATCGATGCAGATTTAGCAAGTCATTTGTAACTGATAGTTGTAGAGCTTTGCTGGGGATGGAGGTGAATTGAGAAGTAGCTTGTTCATAGTCACACAGCTAGTATGTGTAACATAACTAAAGTTTTCCTGACTCCAAGGTCAACCTTTTATGCTCTATATCCTACTGCTTCTGATTTGTATTTCTTATTTATATATAGAGATGAGAGGAGAGGCAAAGGGTTCTTCTCTTTACTAATAAAGGGAGGGATGTCCATTTCCTCTTTTAAACCAGATCTTGCTGATAGTTTTGGGTATATTACTTCTTAGGATCCTGAAGGGGGGCTTGTTGTTCTGAGTGGAGGGGAAACTTCAGGCCGGATGGCGTTTCTTATGTCGGTGAGTGCTCTGATCCCAATGATGCTGCTAACTCCATATCCACTGTCACCACCCAGAGCCTAGAAGCCCACCTTATCTGAACCCCCAAGTAGAACCATCATCCTGATCATAGTTCCTGCCCAGTTGTCCCCTCCCCAACCTCTATCTTCCATGGTATTCAGTTTTCTTTGACCACATCCTAGACATCTGCTAACACTCTGGCTATCTTATTTTTCCAATTTACCCTATGAAAAAGCTTTTAAGTGTGTAAGTCCTTGTGAGGCAGAGTTAAGTCTTATACAAAGAGAAGTACCCAGTCTCTAAGATCTCTAAGAGTTAAAATTCAAGACAATTTTCTTTTCTTCACTATTATTATTTTCTTACATCCTTTTCCCCTGACAGGTTTCCTTTAACCAGCTAATGAAAGGCTTGGGACAGAAACCTCTTTATACCTACCTCATTGCAGGGGGTGACAGGTAAGGGGACTTATGGCCTTTGTAGAGTTCTCAACCTATCCTTCCTATACTATAGGCTTTTAATGTCCTAGGAAGCCCACTGACCATGAGTTTGTCCTCTTAGGTCTGTGGTGGCCTCTAGGGAGGGAACTGAAGATAGTGCCTTGCATGGGACTGAGGAACTGAAGAAGGTCAGAGACAACCAACCTCAGACCCCTTAGATGGACAAAAGCTCTTGACTGTTTCCAGTTGATCCCTCATCACCTTTCCTAGTTTGTGTCCCTTCTCCCAGGAGGGTCTTGTGCCCTATGAACCTTCAAGATCCTCCTTATCCAAGATCCTAATCCTTAGGGATCTCCTCCAAGTGCCCCAGAGCCCATGAACCTCTCTGTCTCTTCTAGGTTGCTGCAGGAAAGAAACGAGTGATTGTCATTGGCATTTCTGTTGGACTCTCTGTGAGTGTGAATACAGAGGCAGGATGGAAAGATTTTGTAAGGAGGATGGGGCTGGAGAGAGAATGAGGAGGAGGATAGATCTGAGGTCTAGAAGAAGATAATAGACAGCATTAACATGATCTTGAGACTTCGGAAGCAGTATGATGGATAGGGTGCTTGACTAGGAGTCAGGAAAGGCCTGGGTTCAAATTCTATCTTTGGTTCTGAGCCTTAGGTTAATTTTCTAAGAGCATAAGTTTGCAGAATACTTTACAACTGTTATGTCATTTAATATTATTATTATCCACATTTTACAAATGAGGAAATTAAGGTTAAGAGAAATTAAATAAGCTATCAGAGGTAAGATTTGAACTCAGATCTTTAATGTTGTTTAGCTGTTTAATGGTTTGCATGTAGTAGAGAAAGTTCCCATACCTGTGAAATCATAGAGCCTTGACCTACTGATGTACTTGGATCTCAGTCCCACTAATTCTGTCCCACTTCTGTGAATGTGAAAACAAGTCACACATACCATTGCAACAACTGCATTATTCTGGAGGTATTGATTTGGTGCCTACTTTGGTGCCTGTACTAAGCTAGACACTGTAGGGGATATAGAAGCATACAGACACACACACACACACACACACACACACACACTAGTCTATTTTTATATCTTACTATTTAATAAACATTTTTTTTTGCTTTCTCCTCTTTATTTATTTCCCCTCATTCTCTTGCCTTATCTCAGGCTCCTTTTGTGGCTGGTCAGATGGATTTCTGTATGAATAACCCAGACATCTTCTTGCCTATTCTGGTAGGGTTCAATCCAGTGAACATGGCTAGGTGAGTCTTCCAAATAGAAATATCAGGAATCTTCCACCTTGGAAAGGTGAAAGCTGACTGGGGAGGCATTTCCTTGAATAAACTAAAGGGAAATGGGCTAATTAGGTCTTCAGGTCTTTCTGATCTGTTATCTGTCTTGGTAGATGGGGAAGATCTCAACTGGTTATTATGAGTTGACTGCTAGGATAGTGATCTCTCTGTTTTTATAAGTATTCCAAGGCTGGATGATTAGTCATCAGGTACAATGGAGAAGAGATTCCTGAATTGGTCAGGCTTAGTACGTTTTCCCTTCCAACTCTAAAATACTCCAGTCTAGTCTAATTCACGTTTGAGTGTAAACGAGTGATACTTTTATCCTTCCCAGGAGTGCCCATATTTTAGAAGAAGACATTTATTAACACAAATTAATCTTAAATTGATTGAATTTAGGCAATGTGACTAAGGGAAATTAAAAATGTTAACTGGTATTTATGGGCAAAGAAGTTTACCATGTAGGCATAGCCTGCTTTCCTACTTATGAAACTGGGTGCTTGCATCCCCTGAAGTTTGAAGCTTAATCTGCTAGTCATTTCAACAAACATTTATTTGAATGTCTACTGTGTTCCCAGCACTATGCTAAGCACTGGGGATACAATGAAAGGTAAAAGACAGAACCTGCTCTCAAGAAACTCATAGTCTAATGGGGAAGACAAAATGTATGTAGAAACAAGCTATATATGGGAAAAATGGGGAGTAATCAACAGAGGGAAGGCATTAGAATTAAGGGAGATTAAGGAAGGCTTCCTGTAGAAGGTGGGGATTTTAGCTGGCACTTAAAGGAAGCCAGGAGGAGATGAGGAGGGAGAGTGGTCCAGGTATGGGGTATAGCTAATGAAAATGCCCGGAATTGGGAGATGAAGTATCTTGCCTGAGAAGGAGCAAAAGGCCAGTGTCACTGGATCTCAGGGCATGTAGGGTGGGATGAGGTATAAGGTATAAGAAGACTGAAAAGGTGGTGGTGGTGGAACAGGCTATGAAGGACTTTGAATGCCAGAGGATTTTATATTTGATCCTAAAGGTGATAGGGAGACACTGGTGTTTATTAAAGAGGGGGATAACATACTCAGACCTGTGCTTCAGGAAGCACTTTGGCAGCTGAGTGGAGGATGGATTGAAGTGAGGAGAGACTTGGGGCAGGGAGACCAAACCAGCAGGCTATTGCAATAGTCCAGGCATCAGGGTATTGAGCGCTTGCATCAAGATGGTGACAGTATCAGAGCAGAGAAAGGGACATATTTGAGAGATGTTACAAAGGTAAAATTAACTGGCCTTGGCAACAAAATACTCAGGCAGCTATTTTCAGGAAATACATGTAACATAGCAGGTAGTAAATCCGTGAATGTGGAAAACATAACTTCAAGAAAGGTTGAAATAAATTAATGGATAATAGAACTAATAAGTGATTAAATGAAGTTAGGGGCTCTGGGTATATTGTTAATCTTTTTTTTGGAGATAATATAATAGAAGGTTATTATTATTTTTCTTTCACAGTTTCAATGAATACTTACTAAAGAATATTTATTATGTGTCAACTGAACCTTCATATAACTATCAGATAGATACAAGAAATCTTTTCAATTCAGTTCAATAATTGATGCCCACATAGCCAAAGCTTTCTTCATTCATTCATTCATTCACTCTTTTGTTTATTTATTTACTAACAAACATTTATTTAGACACACATATTCCATACCTCTTAACACATTACAATTTGCTTCCAGGTTAATTGAATGAAGGAAAACATGTCTATCCACAACAAGTATACTTCAGTACTCTCAGATTTCCCTCTTTATAATATACACTGTGATGTAGAGGGCTTCTTGTATTGGTCTGGATGGGCCAGTATTTCTAATATCTAATAGTATTTCTAATATTCTCATGGTACTGATCCTGCTAGAGTCGTCCAGAGGATATGGGCTAGCACAGTCATTGGTATTAAATACAAGGAGCAGAGTGATCTTTAGGACTGGAAACTCAAATATATCATTAGATTAGTAGTGATAGTAGTAGCAACATTTATAATAACTCATATTACAAATCACTTTACATGCATTATCTCATTTGATCCTGAGAATGACTCTATAAGGAAGATGATGCAAGTATTAATGTCTCCATTTTACAGATCAAGAAACTGAGACTCCCAGAAGTTAAATTACTTCAATTCATTTCAATTAAACAAATATTTTCAGGCACTTATTAAATTCAAGGCAGTCTATTAGGAGCTAGATTTATGAAAATTTCCGTCAAGATCACACAGCAAGGTATTGTGGGCACTGCCTTTCCACTACATTGAGTGTACTTTTGAACCTCAGTAGCTGAGCATTTGAAAATGTTCCCTATTTCAGTGTAGTGCCCCTTTGGGCTCCCTCCTCTCAACTATTCTTGAAAGTTGGATTCCCTGGGGAAAAACTCCTCTAGGTTCAAAGTACTCTGTGAGTCCATATTCCTAAAACTATAGTTTTCAAGCTTCCACCAATGGATTTACCTTCAATAGTCAGTCAGTGGCTACAATTAGCTCAAAGCAAAGGCATTTACTGAAATGGCACAGAGTGAATAGTAGAAACAAAATGTTCCCTTCATAAATCTGGGGGCTCACTCTCCCACAAATGCACACAGTGTTAGTAGGAATGAACACACACATAAAGTACACATGTAGCCAAGGCAACTCAATACCTCCAGCTCTGTAGGGCCACCCATGCCTTTTCTATTGCTATGATGGCTCCCCACTGGACTAAATGCCAGAAAGTCTTGGGAACATAGTGCTGCCACCAATTCAGGAAAGTTAAAGCATAGACCTGATGGCTGACCCCAATCATTCACTTCCACCTCTCAAACCTCTGCCTTTCTGGGACCCAGAAATGATCCCATTGAGGACTGGAATTCCACATTCCTTGAAATTGCACAACGGATGCAGAAGCTGCAAGAGAAACAGGAAGCATTTGTGCTCAACCCTGTAATCGGGGTAAGCTCTTCCCATCTTCTCTCTCCCGCTGTCTTTGCCCCCAACCCCGCCTCAGTCATCTTACCTGTCTTACCCTCTTAGGCTTGCCATCTGCCTTCCTAAACTTCCTGCTTTTACATTGACCTGTGCACTCTTCAAGTTGCTCTCAAATGTTGGCAATTGGAAGACAGTGATTCCTCACTTTATGAAAAACTTGAGCATCAACTGATTATTGAAAAAGAAATTCTGCTTTACAGTCACTCCCATTTTAACTTTATAGATGCTTTTTTTTTTTGAGGCAATTGGGGTTAAGTGACTTGCCCAGAGTCACGCAGCTAGAGAGTGTCAAGTGTCTGAGGTCACATTTGAACTCAGGTCCTCCTGACTCCAGGGTCGGTGTTCTATCCACTGTGCCATCTAGCTGCCCCCGATGCTTTATCTTTATTTCTGATTCTCAGTTAGATTGTTGTTGTTTAATCATGTATGATTCTTCGCAACCCCATTTGGGGTTTTTGTTGGCAAAGATTGTCATTTCCTTCTCCAGCTCATTTTACAGATGAGAAAACTGAGGTAAGCAAGGTTAAGTGACTTGTCCAGAATCACATAGCTAGTAAGTATCTTAGGAAGGATTTGAACTCAGGTCTTTCTGACCCTCAGACCTGACACTGCACCACTTAGTTGCCCTTTCAATTAGCAGCCAATACCTAATACTTTAGCTCTAGGTTTCACTTCTCCCAAGTACTCACCCTTTAAATCTTTCTGTTAATGATTGTTATTAATGTAACACTGACTTCCCTGACCCTACTGCCTGAAGATTAGGTACGCTACTTTTCAGTCCTATAATGATCAATTTCCACCAATGAAGAGAGTATTATGCAAATGTTAAACCATGGGTTACATTAGGAAAACATCTAATGAAACTTTTAAAAAAGGTTTGTGATCCATACAAAAAAAATCAGTTAATGTAATATAAATAATCACTAAGCCAGATAGTGGATAGAGAGATGGTCTTAGTCAGATAGACCTTGGTTCAAGTCCCATCTCTGACCCATACTAAAGTGTGACCCTGGGCAATTCACTTAACCTCTCAGTGCCTCAGGCAACTCTCCAAAGCTTCAAACTGCAAAGCAAGTTCAGCTTCTTCTGAAGTTACCTGTACCAGTGAAATCACAAGTTCAGTCCAAAAATATAAATCTGCCTTATAAGTTTGGATCTTCACATAAATGTTTTGGTGTTTTTTAAAAATAGTGAAAACCTGTATGTCTTCCTACTCTTTCTGCTCCCCTCCACCAAGCTGCAAAAAGTCCTTCTCAAGCCTCCTGGGCTCCCTGATATCTCTTCTCTGATGCTTCTTGGATCTTTTCTAACTTGTACATTGCCACCATCCATCTCTTTACTTTTGTCTCAACCTAGATTTCTCCCTACATATGCCTCTATGCTATTTGCTATGTTTGCTAAATGTCCGGAGCAATTATTGATGTGATATCATTGTTGTTGTTGTTGTTTGTCCTTTGTTCTCGAAGAGGACCATGACATCAGGAAGGTGATATCATGACCTACCAGATGCATGTCAAACAACAATTTTTAGATAGGAAAAAAAAAAAAAGAAAAACAAGGGGCGGGGAGGAGAGGGGATCCCCGAAAAGTGTTTTAGTGTAAAAGTCATCTACCTGCAGCATAATTCTCTACTTTCAGAGTCCAGGTGCCCCATTTTCAACAAAAAGTACTGAAGATGATCTGCTCCCTTTCTCACCTCACCTCCTACTCCCATGCTTTCTCGTTCTTTCGCTTCAGATCATCTTGACATCCATCTCCCCTGAAAGAAGAGCACCTTTAATATCACCTGGCAAATTTTATTTCTGATTTCTTTTTACCCTCTCCCAATCTTTTTCCTGTCCTGTTCACCTCAGCCTGAAGGGCTCAGTGGTTCCTCCAGAATGAAGGGTGGAAGTGCCACGAAGATCCTGCTGGAAACTCTTCTGCTGGCAGCACACAAGACTGTGGACAGAGGCATTGCAGCCTCTCAGAGGTAGGAAGCCAGAGGTAAGGGGAGGGAGGGGTCAAAAAAAAAGGGACTAGGAGTAGAACACTGCATTCCAGAGCATAGATGGACAATGGAGAAAAAGTGGGAGAGGAAAGAAATAGAGAGGAGCTGGGACAAAGGCAGTTCCATCATCCCTGAGAGCAGGGTGATAGAGTTAGGAGAGTTGGGGCAGTTGAACAGGAAAGGAAGGTAGGTTGGCAGGTGAACATTTAGTTCAATTCAATAAGCATTTATTCAATGTCTACTATATGCCAAGTACTAGGCATTAAGGATACAAAGACAAATCAGTCCCTGACCTCATGGAGCTTACATTCTATTGAACTGAATAATGCTCTCTCTGTGTAACAAGGCCCCAGGATTCCTAGCAATCCTAACCTAAACCATGGGGCCTGTTTAAGGGAAGACAGGAACCCATGGAGTATCCAGAACCAGTTTGATTTCTGGGGAAAACTTTTGACCTAGAGTGACTCAAGACCAAGGCCAGAGTAGTTTTGTACTATATCTTCCTACTTCAAAGGGTATCTTAGAGGTGCTAAGGGTGGCATCAGCATCATCTCAGCATCAAATGATGCGTTCTTGACAGGTCTCTGCCATCTTCCCCACAGCCCTCCCAGGAAGACCTTATCATGCCCTTTTTGTTACCTGCAAATCTATCAAGCCCTCTTTTGCCCTTCATGATGTCAGCCTGACTGACCACTTTACTTCATTAAGGTCTGGCTACCTTGATCTATTTAGGAACAGTGCTTCTCTTGGGGGGAGATCCCTTTCTCAAAGAGGGATCTATCTGAAAGAGCTGTTGTAGGGACAAGGCAGAGCTTGGGAACTTTCTGGGCATTCTAGAGCTGGAAGGGAGGTGTCTTTCACTTCTTCATAGCTGTCTCCTGGAGATCTTGAGAACATTTGAACGAGCACACAAAGTCACCTACAGCCAAAGCCCCAAGATTGCAGCGCTGATGAAGCAGGCAAGCACCAGGTGATGAGGGGACAGGTTTAAAGCGGTGTGAACCAGGTCTGGGTAGGGGACAACAAAGATTTAAGGGAAGCACTTGTGAATCTAGAATAGGGTGACAAAGGAAAGATGGGTGTTATAAAAGTCCTTCCTTGTTGTCTTCCTGGATGATGTTAATCTGTTGCCGTTGGGAAGCCTTGGTTGTTTCTTCTGTGCTTGGCTAGCTCTCTCTCTCTCTGAATTTTTCTCTAGTAATATCTGTTCTCAAATCCTCTAACTTTTGAACTGACTCTACTGATCTCTGACCCTGTTCCCAGTCTGCAGAAGAATGGCCGAGTGTACCTGGTTGGTTGGCAGACTCTAGGTATTATTGCCTTCATGGATGGAGTGGAGTGTATACACACCTTTGGTGCAGGTGGGAACCCAGTCCAGCCTGCCTCTCTGATCTACATTGCTAACCCCATCTGCCTCCTCACCCCAACACTTCTCTATTCCCAACACAGTGGGCTCCTTACCCAACATTTCTCTTAACCCAAACTAACCTGAAGCCCCTATCCTATGGGCACTGTTTCTTAATCCAATGCAATTCCCTAACCCTATTAACCCTTTGTTAATCAGTCCCAAGATTTAAGTACCCTTAGGTATCTTTCCATGTCATCCCATGTTCTTCACAGCTTGAACCCCCTCCTTTCTAATCCTATTCCAGCCCCAACACCTCAGATCTTGGTGAAGTCTGCTCCTTTCCCTATGTCCATATGCTTTCATGCTCCTAAAAGCTAACTTTTAAAATCTGACATAAGTACCTGTTTATCTCCTAAACTTACTAGATTTCCGAGATGTTCGAGGCTTCCTAATTGGTGATCATAGTGACATGTTTAATCAGAAGGAAGAAATTGTTGCCCAGGTTGGAAGCTGATGGGAAGGATGAAACTTGGGGAGATAGATGGGCTGGAGAAGAGTCATGGCCACTGAGAGAGTGCAGGGGGTGGGAGGAGGGTTCATGGGGAGGCATTAGAATTTGCTAGGGGTCATTAGGCAAGGCAAGGCAAGAAGCCTGTATTAAGCATTTACAATGAGATAGCACTGTGCTAAGTACTAGGGATACAAATGCAGCACCCCCCCCCCAAAAAGAAGACAGTCCATGGCCTCAAGAAGCTTGCATTCTAATGGAGGCAAACAACACACAAAATGAAACTGAAAAGCTGGAGGTGGGGGGGTGTGGACTATGAAGATATACAAGGTGGGGCATGGTTTTGAAGTCTGAAAAGTCAGGAGAGTTGGGAGAGGAATGAAGGTCAACTGGCCTGAGCCCCTCCAAAATATGGAGGCCTCAAGAGGAACTCACCAATGGGAGGACAGGGAGGTATATCCTAGGGTGACAAGGCCACAGAGATAACTGAAAGTGGTTTGGGACAGGAGGATATTAGCTCAGTGTATGAAGAAGGGAAATAGGAGCAAGGAATCTTAAAGGTTTAGGGGAGGGGGTGGTTGGATTTCTTCTCCTTTTTCCTCCTACCCCAGGGTCCACAGTTTTCCTTCTCCCAAGAAGATTTCCTCACTTTTATCCTGCCATCCCTCACTGAAATTGACACTGTGCTCTTCATCTTCACCCTGGATGGTGAGAGGGGATATGGAGGAGGTGGTTGTAGGGAGGAAAGAGTGGGAAGGGTAGTGGTTCCCTCCCCCCCCACAGTATAGCTTTGGTCTTTGGCGGTAGTCCCCAAGTTCACCCACAGTTCAATCATTTGCTTCTTCCCAAAGAGAATTTCAGCTTTGGTCCCTTCTCCCTATATTCCAGACAACCTCACAGAAGTGGAAACATTGGTGGAGCAGGTAGAGAGGAAGACTCCTAATATCCAAGCCCTGGCTCACAGCACAGTGGGGCAGAACTTACCGGTGAGAAACAGCAAGGATGGGGAGGGGGGTGATGGGAAGTGCATGGCTGGAGTTTCATATGTCATATTTCTTTCGTTTCCGTTTCTATCCTCAGTCCCCACTGAAGAAGCTCTTTCCATCCATCATCAGCATCACCTGGCCCCTGCTTTTCTTTGAATATGAAGGGAACTTCATCCAGGTAAAAGTACAACTCATATTCATATATTACTTAAAGTGAGTATTTTCCTCAAACAACTCTGTGAAGCAGTTGGTAAAATATTGTTATTCCCATTTTACAGTTAAGGAAACTAAGATTTAGAGAGGTTAAATGACTTGCCCATGATCCCTCTGTTAGTGAGAAAGTACAGTGGAAAGGACATTAGTTTAGAGTCAGTAGACCCAGACTCAAATCCCACTTATGTGACCCCATGAGAAAGACACTTAACCTCTTTGTCTCATTTTTTTTTCAACTGTAAAGTGAAGGGATTGGAGTAGGTGGCCTGTGGGCTACCTTTTGGCTCACCTCTGTGATCCTAAGTATATCAGAGTTCAGGATCTGAGTTCAGGTCTCCAGCCATTCTTTCCACTACACCATACTGTGGTGTTCTCAGTGAAAGAAATGTAGAGGAAAAAAACACAACTACTCAAGGAGGAAGCTGAAAGCTAATAATTTTTTTAAAATTTAAATTATTTTTTAAAGTATCACAGTCATTTCTTCTTTACCCTTCATCTCCTCACATTGACCCTTCTGTTGTAACAAAAAAAATTAAGCAAAACCAATCATTTAGCTCAGTTTTATATAGTTATTTAAGGTTTGCAAAGTGTTTTAAATATATGTATTATCTCATTCAATCTTCAGAATAACCCTGTGAGGTAGGTATTATTATTTCTATTTTATAGCTGCAGGAACTGAGGTTTAGGGAGGTTAAGTGACTTACCCAATGTCACATAGCTAACTAATGATGCATGTGGTAATCTTCATGGCACCCAGACTGGTGCTTTATCTACACTACTTGACATTTCATATTTAAACTTCTTCCACAGCTGTCTGGTGTGACAATGAAATCCATATCTGTAGAAAGCTGGTGATTTAATATTGCCCTGTCCCACTTCTGTGAATGTGACAATGGGGCAAGCTGGGTAAATTCTTTTTTCACTAGGTCACAAGGCAGTTGGGACACAGGTGTGAGCTATACATTGAAGAGGCCTGCTATAGTATTAACATCAAATATATGTGTTTATTGAACACCAGCTTTCTGTAGAGCCCTTTACTAAAGTCATCCTTCAATGCCTCATCATGGTGTAGAGATGACACTGGGTTCTTGAAGATCACATCAGTGGAGCGCAAACTCTGGCATGTCCTACCATAGGATTATAGGTCTAGAACTAGAAGAAATGTTAGAAGTCACCTCTCTGTACTACAGAGAAGGTAGGTGATTTGTACAAGGACACAAAGCTAGTAAGCTGAAGATCTGGGATTTGAACACAGGTCTTGTGACTATAAGTTTGGCACTCTTTCTGTGGCTATACATTATCTCTCATACCTACTTGCTTACCTCTCAACCTCCTAAGCTGTACTGGTTTGGAGTACAGCCTAAAGTGTGATGAATTGTATGTCTCTTTTTTCTACTTTTTTTTTTGTTCATTTCTTGTAAACAACATATTGGATTCGGTTTCTAATTCATCCTACTATCCTCTTCCATTTTATGTGTGAGTTCATCTCACTAACATTCACAGCTATGATTATGAATTGTAACTTTTTTTCCATTCTTTTTTCTAACACTTTTTCTTCTCTTTAATCTGCCCTCCCTCTTATTCTATCCCTGCCTTTCCTTAGCCCTTTTTCCTTCTGTTTCCCTCATGAGTGAAATGTATTTCTATTTCAACTGTATGTGCATATATATTCTTCCCTCCTTTGACCAGTTCAGATGAGATACTCTTTCCTCTTTGTTGTGTAGATTCTACTTACGTTCCCCATTAATACGAGAAAATTTTCCCCATTTTTCCTCTCCCTATCTCATCCCCAGTGCCTCATGTATCCCCCTTTTCCTCCTTTTTCATTCTTCTTTTAAAGATCATCAAAATGTTACAGTTGCTCCTAGGCCCTCTGTGTAAGTAGACTCCTTCAATGACTCTTGATGATGAGTTCTGAGGGAATGCCTGTATTATCTCTCTACATAAGAATGTAAACAATTTAACCTTGTTTAGCTGTTTACACTTACCTTTTTATACTTCTCTTGACTCCTTCATTTGTATATCAAATTCTCTACTCAGCTTTGGTCTTTTCATCAGTAATGCTTGTAAGTCCTCTATTTCATTATAATTCTATTTTCCTCCCATAGTATTGTACTCAGTTTTGCTGAGTAAGTTATCCTTGATTGTTAGCCTAGATCAGGGCCTCAGGTCACCCACCCCTGGACTAGTGGATTCTTTCAATTTATACATTTTCCTCTGATTCTAAGAGATCTGGGCATTTTTTCTTTTATGGTTTCTTAAAATACAGTGTCTAGGCTAATTTTTGCTTTTTTTTGTTTTTGTTTTGATTTTGGTCATGGCTTTCAGGTGGTCCAATGATTCTTAATTTTTTTTTCTCCTTGATCTGTTTTCCAGGTCAGTTGTTTTTGTTAAGAGATAGCTTACATTTTCTTCTATTTATTTAATCTTTTGACTTTGTTTTAATATTTCTTGATGTCTCATAGAATTATTAACTTTTATTTGGTCAATTCTAATTTTCTGGGAGTTATTTTCCTGGGTAAGGTTTTATACCCCTTGTTCCAAGCTGTTGATTCCTTTTTCATATCTTTCATCTGTGGGTCTCATTTCTTTTCCCATTTTCCCCTCTACTGTTCTCTCTTTATTTTTTTATTAATTTTTTAGCTCTAAAAAAAAAAAAAAAAACTCTTGCTTTATCTCGTCCTTGAATTCTGATTGGTCTTGTGCCCAAGCTGCCACTGAGCTTTTGAGCTTTTGCTTGTAGATGTTTCTGAATAATTCTTTTCTTCTGAGCTTCTGTCTTAAGCTTCTGTATCTGCAAGCTTTCAGTGTTCACAGAGGATGATATGAGCTGGGCAAAGTTTGCTTATTGCTGTTTGTTTGAACTCTGCAAGTTCCTGAACCAAGTTTTGTTCTGAGCAAGACCTCTGTTAGTTTGTCTCTGGTTGAAAGTTTCAACAGACTGCTGCTGGATTCAGCCACTGTTAGCTCCTGGGACACTTTGTAGGTTCAGAATAACCAAAGTGCAGGTCTGAGATTCTGACCCTGCTTATTCCACTGCAAGCTTTAGGCTGATCTGGAGGCCAGAATTGAGTCTCTGCTGTGTTCCTGGGATCAGAGCCACACAACTACTGTTTGCTTTTGAACTTGTTCTTATCCCAGGACACAGCAAAGGTCCAAATGTGACCACGCCTTTCCTAGGCACAGGTCTCTCCCTCAGCCCATCTTGGATTAGTAACCCAGAGCTGGGTAGTGAGTGACAAAGCTGCCAGATAGCACTTATTTCTGAACTCTATGTTATTTCAGGAATTCCTCGACACCTCTTTCTACTCCTATGCTTCCTATCCTCATGCCCACTCTCAACCTTCTTTCAGTACCTGGGGAATGCTCTGCATTGCCCTACATTCCTGGCCAAACTCCATCTCCACTATCCTCAGACCTCTCTGTCTCCCTAAACTGATCTGGGTTGGAAAAATTATTCACTGTGATTTTTTTTCTTGGATTTCTTGATCAGAATTAGGTCTAGTATATTTTCTTGATCTTTTTGGAGGAGGTGTGATAGGGGAGCTAGGCTGTACTTCTTCCTACTATACTACTATATTGACTTTGTGTATCTGGAGGATTAACTTCACTAAGTGCCAAGAGTCTTATCATCAGATTGACTGAGTGATATATTTTTGGCTATAGCAACTCAAGATGTAGCAGAGGGGTTGTGATTTATGCTGGTGGAGGGTGTACCTATATGAAGTAAGAATTGAGTTCAGAGTACTGTTTTATGAGGAGGCACTTATCATCTAGCTGGGGGGAGACACACACACACACACACACACACACACACACACATGTACCATTAAGAGCCATTATGAAACAGGGTATCAAAAAGTACAAATAGTGGGTGTCTACAAAGCCATTTCATCCCTGCAGGAGAAGAGAGAGGCTCCTGGAAACTCCCAAAGGGGAAACACCTTCCAGATGCTTGTTGCATTGAAAATATACAAGAGGACAGAGTTGTAAGAGTGATCTGAGACAGACAGGATTAAGCAGAGGAGTTAAGTAATCTTGGAGTTAGTCCTCCTGGAGTGGAGGAGTTTGGGCCAAGAGCTTTTTATTGCGCTTTATGGATAAATCTTAACTCCAGCATGCCTTGAGGACCAAAAAAAGCTCTACAGAACACTGCATATCTCTAATAGTCTATGCAGTCCCTCATTTTGGTAAGTTACCATTTGGTAAAAGAGAAGAAACTTTTAAAAAGTAGCACCAATGCTATGCTTGCAGTACTGATTTCTTCACTTTGCATCACTCTTTGCAAGTCTCATATTTCTTTGAATATTTCATATTTGTCATTCCTTACAGCACAGTAATATTCAGTTTCATTCATATACCCCAAGTTATTTCTAATTTTTTACTTTTACTTTTACAAATAGTACTATTATAAATATAAAGATAGGAAATGGCAAACCACTCAAGTATCTTTGTAAAAAACAAAAAAACAAAACCCAAAAACAAAAACCCTAAATGGGGTCATGAAGAGTCAGACATGACTGAAAATTATTGAAAAGATTGACAAAGTGCTATTATAAATATCTTTGTAAAGTTTTCCTCTCTCATTATAGCTTCCTTGGTATATAAACCTAGTGATGGGATCAACAGGTCAAGGGTTATGAACAATTTTGAAACTTTTATTGTATAATTCCACATGGTTTTCCCAAATAGCTAGACAAAATTACATCTTCACCAACAGTGAACATTCCTGTTTTTCTATATCCCTACAAGTAATATTTTTTATCTTTCCTAATTTAACAGTAAATGATACTGCAGAGTTGTTTTAATTTACATTTCTCTGTTTACTAGTAACCTTGAACACTTTTATTTTATTTATTTATTTTTTTGGTCTAGGCAATGGGGTTAAGTGATTTGGCCCAGGGTCACACAGCTAGTGTTATGTGTCTGAGGCCGGATTTGAACTCAGGTCCTCCTGAATCCAGGGCCGGTGCTCTATCCACTGTGCCGCCTAGCTGCCCCCTTGAGCACTTTTAAAAAGACTGATTATATCCTTTGAACCACATCTCTACTAAGAAATGATTGAGTCACATCTTGTAGGACAACAAGGGTCATTAAATCAAAGATTTAGAGCTAGAAAACATTCTTGAAATTATCATCATTTTATGGTTGAGGATATTGAGGTTCAGATGTGTTAAGTTACTTGTTTAAAGTTGTATAGACAATAAGTTGCAAAGCCAAGATTTGAATCCAGGTATGCTTCTTGTTGTTGCTGTTTCTGTGTTGTGTCATTTTTTAGTCATGTCTAACTCTTTGTGACCCCATTTGGGCTTTTCTCCGGAAAGATACTGGAGTAGTTTGCCATTTCCTTCTCCAGCTCCTAACAGATAAGGAAAGTGAAACAAATGGGGTTAAGTGACTTGCCTAGGGTCACATAGCTAGTAAGTGTCTGAGGTCAGATTTGAACTCATGAAGAAGAATCTTCCTGATTTCAGACCACCTGTATTCTATCCATTGTGCCATCCAGCTGGCTGTATCAAGGGATAGATAGCCTGTTCCAAAATGAGTCATCTGGAATTATGGTTGGTCATTATATTAATCAGAGTTCCTAAGACTTTGAAGTTGACTATCTTTACAGATTGTTATTGTATAAATTGTTCTGGTTCTCATTTCCATTCTCCATCAGTTCATACAAGCCTTCCCAGGTTCCTTTGAAACAATTCATTCATCATTTCTTACAGCACAATACTATTTCATCATATTCATATACCATAACTTGTTCAGCCATTCACCAATTGATGGACATCTCCTTAGTTTCCAGTTCTTTGCCACTACAAAGTGAGCTGCGAATATATTTTTGTACATTTCCTTTTCCTTTTCTTTTTAAATCTCTTTAAGGTATAGACTTAGTAGTGATATCAATTCTGTAGCTACTCCTAGCTTCAAATGCATTGTTTCCTCCTCTTCTTGTCTTCACTATCAATGAATTCAAAGGACAAAATTTCTTCCCCATACCAATATGATATTTCCAACTCAGGCAACTAGTGAAGATTAGATTATGAGCTCTAGATTTGTATTCTTTTGAAAAAACGTTAAAAGGGAAAGAACACTGGACTACAAGTCAGTAGACCCAAATGCTAGTTCACTGTGTTCCTTTGATAAATTATGTAACATCCTTCTTTTACCCTATCTGTATAAAGGAGATAATAATATCTGACCTTCTTACTTCATGAGCTGCTAACAATTCTCTCCACCTCCAAAATCACCTTGTATCTACTATATTTTATGTGGCATAGTGGATCAAGATTCTGGCCTCATATCCAGGAAGACCTGGGTTTAAGTCATTCTTCTGACACTTACTGGCTGTGTGACTGGGCAAGTCACTTAATTTTTTAGTGCTGTGCACAACATATATACATGTTGTCTCTCATGGCTAGTCTAGCTCACTGAAAATAAGAGCTTTTCGAATTTTTGTTTTTGTATCCCTAATGCTGGCCATAATGCCTGACACATAGTAGGTGCTTTTATAAATACTTATTGTTGATTGATTATTGCTGATCAAATAATGTTCAAGTGCTTTGAAAAATTTGATTGCTATAGAAAAATATTCTAAGGAATAATAATTCACTAGAGTATTGCTGTACCATGATCCTCTATCATGAAGAATTTGAAAAAAGGCAGGATTTACTATCAAAAGAACCTGGTTATAACATGTAATTGTGTATGTTACATGAAAACTGAGGTTGATACGCCAAACTTTAATGTTTTTGGATTTACCCTATATTCATATAAAATCTTATTACAACAAAATCTAAGTGACTACCTGAGTTCTTTGGTTATTCTAGATTTTTATGGCTAGTGCTTTGATCTTTAGTTGTATACAGTTTTGGGGGATTATAGGGACAATGTAATACAGTAAAAAGAATGCTGGATTTGGAGTCAATAAACCTGGGTTCAAATCTGGACTCTACCAGTTACTTTATGATATTGGGTAAGTTAATTAAGCCTTTTGGGCCTCAACCTATTCGAATTTACAAATATTTGGTGGTACCTTTATATTATAAGCTTCTATACAATTTTTCACCTTTGTAACTTTAGTGCTTAATCCATTTGAATTGAAATGAATTGAATTACTAGTATTCCCCACTAGGGGACAGTAGCATTGGTTCTATCTTACCTAAGAAAGACCAGGGGTCAGATGTTGAGCAAGAGGTCAAGGTATCAAGGTTAAGAGGAGGGAACAAAAGTTTAGTTTATAAGGGTGTCTTGAATCAGCTAAATTCTTTTGCTAAAGGACTCAAGTAGACCGCTGTCTACTTTCTTTTGATTGTAGGATTTGGTTCGCTTGCTCCTGCTAGTGTAAACTTCATCTTTTGTGTCTCTTCTGTTCAGAAGTTCCAACGTGAATTGAGCACCAAGTGGGTGCTGAACACAGTGAGTACTGGGGCCCATGTTCTTCGTGGGAAGATCTTGCATAACCATATGTTGGACCTAAGATTGGGCAACTCCAAGCTCTTCTGGAGGGGCTTGGCCATGCTGCAGGTAAGGGAATGACTGGCTATATTGTGAAAGTGGGTATCAGAAGGTATTCTTCGTTAGCATAAAATGTGTTTAGGGGTAAGGCTGCTTTCATACTTCTTGTCCTGTTTCTGCCCTTCACCTTCCTCACCTTACCCTATATAGACTGTTGGGAAAATATTAACTACTAACAAGTGTGTATGTGTGTGTGTGTGTGTGTGTGTGTGTGTGTGTGTGTGTGTGTGTGT